TTGTGACTATGAGGTGACTGCCATTCCCAATGAACCTGGTTCATCTAAGAAGACACCTATAAATAGCAAAGTCAGAGCTCTGGTGCAGGAGATGGGGCAAAGGATGCTGAGATAGCTAGGTTGAAGGCTCGTTTAGCAGAGGTGGAATCTGAGAGAGATGCTCTCAGAACTGAGTCTCACAAAGGAAAAGGAGAAAAATGATGGCATTCTTCAAAATATGTTTCACCTTCTCCAAGCTAAAACCCAACCCTCCAGTTCTTCCAAGCCTTAGCCTTCATTTTCTGAACCTTGTCTAGACCTTTCAGTGACCCAGATTAGGGATTTTTTCTTGTTTTGCTCATGTTTTGACTGTTTTATTTCTTTTTGTGGATTGTCGTAGCATCATATTCTCTATCAATGAAGTCCGCTGTTTTTGCTCTTGTTCACTATTTATATTTCCTTGATAGTTTGAACATGCTTGGTGATTACTGATGATTAATCCATGATTGCGCTTGCACTTGCCCCAGTGGCCATGAGTAATTGTTAAACTTCTAGGAATCACGCTGTGTTTATGCAACTTTTCGATGATGCCAAAAGGGAAAAGAAACATTGTGCTTTATATTCTAAATAAGTGATGTTTATAACCTAATGAACCTGGTCCTTGATGATAAGTAAAAAAAATTTTAACTTTGCATTAATGAAAAAGATGAGTTCTAACAGGGCCTAAGTGAGTGGAAAGCACAGAGTTTGTCATCATCAAAATGGGGGAATTTGTTGGCCCAAGTAAAGGTGAGTTTTGAAGACTGACAAAGGAACTCAGACATGGACCAGGTCCATTCTAGTGAGGCACAGATATGATTAACTCAAGCATGTGAGATGCACGTGAAGGAGACAAACCTCACTTACCAGAAGTGATATCTCCTAATCCTGATCGAAAAGGTTACATATTAGATAAGGAGAAAGACTCCTTACTCAAAGAGAACACAGCTTAAGAGATGGATAGAGTTAGAGGTTGAGATCAACTAGAACTCTTCCACCAAGGAAGAGTAGCATCAGTATTCTAGTCAATCTCTATTTGCTAACTCCAAAAATATCAGTGTTGTTCTCTTTTATAGTGAACGCACATAAGCAGAAGGTAAACGTAAATTGAGAGCAAAATAGCAAGGCAATTTTCCAAGCAATTTGTGTGTGATTCAAGCGTGCAAACCTGAAGCTACTTGAACCAGATAGAAGAACCAGTTCCAAGTGTCTGTCTTTTATTCTAGTTCAATTGTAGTAGGTGAGTTTCATATTGTACCTTTCAGCTTATCTAGAAGCAATTGTATTAGGTACTCAGAGTTTTCAAGTTAGAGTTAACTTGAAGTTGTCGCAACAGTTGACGCTGTGTGCCACAACGGGATTAGAGTTAATCCTAGGTTTACAAAAGAGTTTTTGTAAATGTTGTTTTTGGCTCAGTGATTTTAGTGGAGAGTTTGGGAAAATCCTACTGGAAAGTAGGTCGTGGCTTTTTCACCTTTTGAGCCAGGTGTTTTCCACATAAAATCTTTATGTTCTTTAATTTCTATACTTATTATTCCGCAACAGTAGTAGTTGGAACACATAGAAGAACCAGGTCTTTCTATAGTGAAGTAAAGCCAAAAATTGGGTACCACACAAATCAACCCCCCCCCCTCTTGTGTAGTATTGAAGTATAAAATATCACATGTTTTGCCAAAGCATCTGCGACTTGGTTTGCTTCCCTGTAACAGTGAGAAATCTTTACTCGATTTTGATCTAACATCTTTATGATCTCCTCAGTGATCTTCCTCATCTTGGTATTTTGATTTTTTCTGTTTTGCAGCATATCCACAATGAGTAGTGAGTCCATTTGTAGCTCAAAACTGTTAAAACCTTGGCTCAGACATAGCTGAATCCCAGCTTTTGCCGCCAAAGCTTCAGTCTTATTATTACTGCTACAGTGCACTGGTATGGAAAAAGATGCGATGAAATCGCCATCATCATTCCTTAAAATTCCTCCAATTCCTGCCTTGCCCTTATTTTCCATGTAGCTTCCATCAGTGTTCACTTTGATAGTCCCTTGTTCCGGTAGCCTCCAAATTACAAGAAGAATTCTCTGTACGTGCTTGAGCTTCTCAATATCTTCACATAATCTGCACCAAGGCCACTCTATAGGACAATTGGGGAAGGACATCCCAAGTGCTGCTTTGATGTTCCAGTAGGCATTGTGCTTCATGCTCCTAGTCATAAACTTCTTCTGATTCTCATATCTACATGCACACCAACTTTTCCACAATTCCCATACAATTAGTATATGTGTGATCTGTAACAAGTATTTATGAACACCATTTTTTGGCCTAACATTCCACCATTGGGCTATTGTGCCTCTAACAGTATTCATTTAAACATTGACCCCCAACGGATCCCCAAATGTTCTCCACAAATATCTAGTCGGCTGACTTTCCACAAAAGTATGTTGTATAGTCTCATTTTCAGGGACTAAGCAACATACACATCTTGATATTGTTTGGTTTCCAAATCTGATCAAAACATCCTGGAAGGGAAGCTTATTTTTCATTAATCTCCAAGCTAATATAGAGATCTTTGCTGGTAAATTCCTATTCTAGACTTTTGGGAGTATTGGATTTGAAAATTTCTGCCTTCTAGTAGTCTGCCAAGCTGAGAAGTTGGTAAAATTTCCATCTGCTGCCGGATCCTATATTGCATAATTATCCTTGCTTTGATCTCCAATAGTGACTGCTTGTACCTGCTGAACCAGATTGTCTGGCAGTGTTTCCCTTAATTTCTATTGATTCCAGCTTCAATTTCTAATGAAGTCCTTCACCATTGGCTTGGAAGACTTGGATTGTGATGGGTAAGTGCTGGCTAGGGGTCCTTTGCCAGTCCAATTATCCCACCAAAAGCTACAATTTCCTCTGTTGATCACCCAAAGTATGTTAGGTTCTTCTTTCCCTCTTATCTTCATCATGTCTCTCCAAATGTGCGATTGCTTGGCTGCCCCCTTCAGTGCCACTGGATGGCCTTTAGAACAATATTTTGCCCTAAGAAAGTTAGTCCATAGATTTTGCTGCCTTCTGAAATTCCACCATCTTTTGATTGTGAATGTGTCTCCAATGTCTTGAAGACATCTGATACCAATGCATCCTTCCTCTATGGGATAGCACAGATTCTTCCAAGAACTTCAATGGTATTTGGACTTGTCAGTGTTAGCTCCCTAGAAGAAATTTGCAAAGTATCTTTCCAGTGTTTTGTAAGTAGCCTTTGGTGGATTCATCGCAGCAAGGGTGTATGTTGGAATTCCCTGCAAAACATATTTAACTAAAGTTAGTTTTCCTCCATGTGATAGCAAATTCCCTTGCCATTCATTAAGTCTTTCGGATATTTTGGAGACTAGGCCATCAAAGTAGACTATCTTCTTCCTCCCCACAAAGATAGGGCAGCCAAGATACACAAAAGGAAATTCTTTGTTCAAGAACCCTGTCGCCCTTCTCATTCTGTTTATTCTTGATGGTGATGCTTTAGGATCAGTTAGGAAAAAACTTTTATCATGATTGACTAGCTGTCCTGATGCCGCTTCATATTTCTTCACCACTTTCATAATCATTAGAACTGATTTAGAACAACCAGCCGTGAAGATCACAATGTCATCTGCATAGGACAGATGACTCACCTGAGGACCCCTAGGACTCATAGAAAAAGGAGTAAAGTTCCTTTCCTGTTGGAGGTTATTAAGCATCCTAGAAAGGACCTCAACAACTAGTACAACAATGAAGGAGATATTGGGTCTCCTTGTTTGAGTCCTTGAGAAGATGTGAAAAAACCTTTTCTCCTTCCATTTATGATAATTGAATACCATACATATGAAACCAATCCCCATATCATATCTATCCACACTTTATTGAACCCAAATCTTCGTAGCACAAAAGTAAGAAACGACCACGATAGTCTGTCGTAAGCCTTTGCCATATCCAATTTGATAACCATGTTACCACCTTCGTTGGGCTGATTGATTCCTTGAACAATTTCATGTGCCATAAGAACATTTTTTGTTATGGATCTACCCTTTATGAAACCACTCTGATTCTCTGATATCATAGAAGGGAGCATTGGTTTCAGTCTCATGGATAGAATTTTGGAAATTATTTTTGAAGAGAAGTTGGACAGGCTTATAGGTCTCATTTTTGAGAAAGTGGAGGGGGAGTCTGTTTTGGGAATCAATGCCAGGAATGTATGATTGAAGTACTTGGTGATATGACCCCCATTAAAGAAATATTGCACGAAATGTATGACATCCTCTTTTATGGTTTCCCAACATTTCTGGTAGAACAACCCACTGAATCCGTCAGGACTTGCTGAACTGTTAGGACACATAGTAAAGACATCTTCTCTAACTTCCACTTCTCCAGGGATTGAAGTCAAAAACTCATTGTCCGCTTCTGTAACCACAATAGGAATGCACTCCAGGATCCTCCTATTTTCCTTGGCTTGCCTAAGGTTGAAGAGCTTCTTAAAATGTCTGATGGCTGCCTTAGTGATCTTTTCATCTCCTTGAATCCAATTGCCTCTATGATTATTTATCTTGTTCAATTGCATTCTTCTCCTTCTGTCTCTTATCACACTGTGGAAGTATTTGCTGTTGTAATCTCCTGCTTCAAACCATTTTCGTTGAGCCTTTTGTCTGAACATTGATTCTTGCATTGCTAGCCAGCTAACATATTCCGCATGTGCTTTGTTCAATTCTTGTCTTGTTCTTTCATCATTACTGATTAGTTCTTGCTCCTCCAATCTCTGCACTTCTGTTTCCCATTCTTTGCATTTCATATGTACATCCCAATCTCTTCCTTTGACTATACACTCAATCTTTTGCTAAGTGCCTTCAATTTCTGTTGTAATCTCCACATTGGATTACCTATGACCTGCATGTTCCATGTTACCGGTGCTACCTCCTAAAAACCATTATGACCTATCCAAAATTCCATGAATCTGAAGTACTTGATAGGTTCCTATTGATTGTTGAAGCACTTCATGAGAAGTGGCCTATGGTCAGAACCAGTTCTCACAAGGTGCCTAACACTATTGTTTTGAAATTTCTTAAGCCATAGGTCATTGATCATGATCCTATCCAATCTCTTCCAAATCCTCTTTGAATGTCTTCTATTGTTGCACCATGTAAACTTAACCCCTACATAGCCAGCATCTACTAGCTCACAATTGTTCATACAATAAGAAAAATCAATGCTTTTGCTGATTCTATACGGTCTTCCTCCCAATTTCTCATCTATGTCTAGGATTGAGTTGAAATCCCCTCCAATGCACAATGGCCAATTCACCATTGCATTTACCCTTTCTAGACTATGCCAAAGCTCACTTCTTTCAGAAGCAGTGCACTTAACATAAACAGCAGTTAAAAACAGTCCATTGCCTTCTCCTTTTTCACTGATGTTTATTGTTATTTGTTGGTCTTCATTTGTAAGCACTGTTGTTTGACAGTTTGTTGTCCAAAAACACCATATCTTGCCATTGTCATTTGAGATACATTTATGGAATCCCAAAAACTTTTTGTATCCTTCAATCTTCTCTTTCCGAACAAACGGCTCCATAATGGCTACAAAAACAACTTTGTTGATAGTGATTAGATTTTTTAATCTATGTATGGCATTTTTTGACCTGACTCCTCTGATGTTCCAGAAGATCGCACTTATCATAAAATCAATTTTTTTAAAGGTTGTGTTACTCCCTTCTTCTGTTTAGGGGGAGTTATCTCTTTGTTCCTTTTGTTTCTGCCTTCCCTCATCTGCTGACTTCTTCCTCTTTCTTGTTGGTAAGCAGTCCTCTTTGTTTGAACTTCCAGTCATCTTGTGATCTGAATCATTTAAAACTTCTTTTGCCTGTTCTTTTACGATCTCAGAGTCTCCTACATTGCCTAGTTCTTCTTTATCTCTTTCTTGTGGCATATTGTATCCCTCATTCAACTCCACAACAAGGTGGATTCCTTGCTGATATCTGATGGCTGTGTCAAAACTGGATGTCCCTAGTTCTATTTCCTCCACCCTTTGTGTGTTGTCGTTCTGCTTCGCCACTTGTTCATCTTCCAGTTCTGTGTTTTGAGGTCTCCTACTTTGAGGTGTATGGCACGAGTTATCATCTTTATTGTCATTCTCCCTTGGTGAGTTGGTTCCCTGTTGTTTCACCTCTTGTTCCCCTACTTTTGAGCTTTCCCAATTTTCATTAATTTCATCAGTAATTTCGTTAACACTTTGGATTGGTATTTGCTTAGGAATTTCCCTTCTCTCGGTCCTCTTTTTGGTTGTTTTAAAGATCACTTTGCTTCTTTTCCTTCTTATTTTCCTTGCCTTCTTGCCTTTCTTTTGCTTTGTTCTCGTATTCACAGATGCCTTGGCCTCCTCCTTCTCATTATCTTTGTCGTAATCAATCTTGTCTTTATTGCTTACTTCCTTCTGCCTGACTTGAAGTCCCTGCTGCTGTTTGTCATTAGCATTTGGTTCTCCCTTGCTCATTTCGACTACAATTTTGTCCCTTTCTAAATTTTTTCCTGCTGCAATTGTTTCACTGTCTTTTGCCTCTACTTCCTTGACTTCATTAGCTCTTCTTCTCTCCAAGGATCGACAATTCATCATCGAGTGTCCCAGCTTCTTGCAGTGTTTGCAATATTTTTGTACATTATCATACTCCAGTTTCTGCTCGAATCCTTTCAGAGGGGAGTTATCATCTTCATCTCCCACCCAAACACTAGTTAGCAAAGGCTTGAGCAAATCTACTTCTAGTCTTACCTTAGCCATACTAGGCCTATTTTTCCCTCGTGTAGCTATGTCTATTTCCAGCGGAGTGCCAGCGTCACTTACAATTTGTTTCACATAGTGCCATGTATGTAGATGGAACGGTAATCTAGGAAGATTAACCCATACCAGAACTATGGGCATGTCCTCCTCTGGTTTGAAGTCTGGGCTCCATTTCTGTAGCCACATTTGATTTCCTTCAATGTCCACTGATCTTCTGTACCACACCGTGCTATAGTCCTCATCATTTGTGAAGCCTAGAAAGACATTGTTGTTATCATAAACTCCAATGTTGACCGAGCCCTTCAATGGAAATCTCTCCAGGAACCTTGACCTAATTTTCTCAATTTGGGGGCGGATTTTCAGAAATCTCCCCACATTCATTCTCCTGCATTCCGCAGCCATGACTCCATAGTAATCCTTGGTCTTAAAAAACACCGTTGGCATGCCATTATGGGTTGTTCTTCTCGCTATCACTGATTCCCGCTCTTGCTTAGTTGGGTTTGGGGTGGAGTTGATAGTGTTTGCATAAGAGAGTTTTGTTGGAATTCCTTCTGGTATCTGACTCGTACTGGCCTTGGGATCTCTCTGGTGGTCTACACGCGCCGGAACATTGCCGTCCGGCGGCTCCATGTGGTGGGGCGTGGTTCAATAGGGGGATCTGTTAGGGATTTTACATTAGGCGCATGAGGCGCGTTCTTTTTTAGTAGAGTTTAACTTTTCTCCCCTTGATCCCATATCTTATAAATAAGGCAGGAACTTATTAGCACATATGATTTGCTTGCATAGCTTTTCCGAGATATGAAAAGGGGGTTCATATACAGGCTGTCATTAAAAGGAAGCCTTTTAGCATACACCTAAACAATCGTGCACTTGGGAGCCCCGAGACTTCCTTATAGATACAGACTTTCCGTACTGCCAAGGAAGGAATACACTTTACAAAGGATCTGCTTAACTTGTAAATGAGCATAGTAGAGGTCTTTGCAGTTCATATCATTCATTCAGATTTGAGACGTAAGTAAATTCCAAGCATGTTGAGGTAAAAATAAAGATATAATCTGCTACATCCAGATTTGAGACGTAAGTAAATTCCAAGCATGTTGAGGTGAAAATAAAGATATAATCTGCTACAATAACTTTTATTTGGTATTACTATATGTGCGGGAAGAAACTCTTCGTAGGAGGTGTACTTCTTGTATTTATATTTTAGTTTACTGTTGGATTAGGAAATCTTCTCAATAAATAACTGTGTTGTTTGATGCAGCTATGCTTTGTAAATATTAACTTTGGTGATTAATAAAATGTTACTCTCTCTGTTTCAATTTAGATGAGTTAATTTGACTCGGCACGAAGTTTAAGAAAAAAAAATGACTTTTGACACTTGTGATCTTTAAAACTTAAGTGGTAAAAACTTTGTAGGACCATGACATTTGTGTGGTTATAACAGCTTCTCATTAAAGGTAAAATGGGTAAAATGAAGTGTTTAAAGTTGAAATATTGCAAATTTAGAAATGTGTCATTTATTTTAGAACAGATAAATAAGGAAAGTATCTCATCTAATTTGAAACGGATGAAGTACTTAAAAAAAATTATAGTGCATTGATAGACTAAAATTTTGTTATACTTTGGATGTATATAACGTAATTTTTTTTTCCAAACTACTTGTTTTCATGAGTAGTTCAATAGGCAACAAGCACAATTAAATTAGTCATCAAGATGTGTGATAGGATGATTATGATCTCTCTATTTTGACCAAAAGTCTCAATAGAACTCGAGGAATGAAGAAGATTCTGATAGGAAGGGTTTAAATTTACACGGTGCAAAAGTGAATAATTAAACCAGTATATTCAAGATACCACATAGCTAAAAAAAATGTATAATTAAACTTGCGTGGTGGAGAAGAAAGAACAACCTTAAACCAACGTCAGTAGAGAAATTAACAACGGTCCAAAAGAAACAAAACCATAAATAATCCCACAAACTCCTCGTTGCCATGCAAACTGAACAAATCACAAAAAATCATTGATCATTCTCTTTCTCCCAAACCCACCACCATCCTCCCTCTCTTGATGCCAATTCTTACTACAAGCTGGTCGTCTCCGCCACGGATGACGGCGGCACCGTAGAATAATCAAAATCATGGAATCCAACATCCAAACACCGCCACCTTCCTCCACCATCACCGCCGACCACTCGTCCTCTCTCTTCCCCCAGCCTCTTTCCCCTCACCCCCCTTCAGCTTCAAACAACACCAACCACATTCTCGAAATTACCCTCATCTCTGCCCAAGACTTATCCCCCGTCTGCAAATCCCTCCGCACCTACGCCCTCACATGGGTCAACCCGAACCGCAAATGCACAACCCGGGTCGACAATCAAGGCCACAGCAACCCCACCTGGAATGACAAGTTCTCTTTCCGTGTTGACGATGAGTTTCTCAACTCCGAGTCCTCCGCCGTCCACGTCGAAATTTACACCGTTTCTTGGTTTCGTGATATTCTTGTAGGCACCGTTAAAGTTCTTCTCAATAATCTCATTAACCCTTTTGACAGAAGCAAGAAATTTGTCGCTCTTCAAATCCGTCGGCCTTCGGGTAACCCGCAAGGAATACTCAATTTGGGTGTTGCGCTAATTGACAAGTCCAAACGGAGCATGCCGCTTTTTAACGAAATGACTCCTTTGTCCTTGGATCATAGGGATATTTTAGACAGGAAAATAAATGACATTAATGCTCAAGATCAAATGATCAACGAGAACTTTCCAGAAGATGAAGAGAAATTGCAAATAAACAATAAAATTCAGCTGTGGCAATCGCAGAGTTTAGGCTATTCTGACGTCAACACCGGAGAATTTCCTAACCAAGCGGGCTCAATTTGTAATGGGTCAATGGTGAACGGGTCGATAGTAAACGGGTCGGAACTGTGCTCCGACATTGGGCCGTCGGCTTCCATTGTGGCAGCGGAGATAGCAAAGAAGCTGCAACCTCTGCCGCCACCGCGGGTGCCGTCCAAAGAATTGAATAAGGAATATTCTGGGGAAGGGGAAGACGGAGAGAGCTCAATATTGGAGGAGTTGACGGCGGAGGAAGCGTACGCTAAAGGGTTGGCGTTAAGTACGGAGGGAAGGAAGAAGGAGGCAGCGGCACCGGGGAAATGTCAACGGGGAAGCGGCGGACACCCACGGCGGAACACCGACAGAGGACTGTATTCTTGCTTTGGAAATGCATATTGTTTCGAGTTCACCATTGTTTGCGGGGCAAGTAACAACAACAATCAGGGGAATCGTAGAGTCGATAACAGTAATAGTTCTGGCAAGGGCAGAAAGAAGTGGTCTACTGATACAAATTCAGCTTAATGTTTGTACGTATATATGTACCTTTTTGTATAGAGTTTGTATTTAACAACTTACCCGCACACAATACTAATTTAATGAATGCAAAATATGTGTTTTTATATATACATCTGTCTCTTGATAACAAGAAGATGAAGAGAAATTGCAAATAATAAACAATATATACGTTTGTCACCTAGTTCAATATGATGTGGATAAAGTATATATGGAATTTGTATTATGTGTGCTTACCATATAAAGAATTCTTACATTATCAGGTCACATTGATCTACAAAATTTAACTATTCATATCAAATATGATAGATGACCTGAAAAATAGAATGATAACATGTTATAGCCAGTTAAATCATATGGATACTCTTTTGCATACTAAAGTAATGGAGAAATTTTATTTTGTGTCTCACATTCTACGTTATACTTATGTGAGACCCTTCATTACTTGACAAGTGGATTCATAGGTCCCATTTGATTACTTTGAAGATAAAACTAAAAAAGGCAATTTAAAAATCATTTAATATGTCTAACTAAAGATAAAAGTAAGTAATAACTTAAAATGGTAAAAAAAATATATGCATTTAAAAAGCTAATAACCTTTACTTCTGTTCAGCAGCACACATTGAATTTTCCTTTACTTGTGTTGAAGAAGAAAAGCAAAATAACCTTCTGTTGCTTTTCCTTCCTAAGCTAAAAGATATATTTGAGTTGGAAAATATGAACGCCAAATCGAGACCGAACGCCAAGTTGAGGCAGAACTTGAAAAAATATGCTAACTTATATTTGAGTCAGCTAAAACATATGTTTGAATTGAAAAAATATGCTAACTTATAATATTCTTTGGATATGAAAACAGAACTCCGTTGAATAATTTTTTTTGAAAATACTTTTTGAGCATTTCTCGATTGTGCGTGTATTCTTCCGCAAGGACTTCGCTAATTTTTTTTTGTATCGTTCCAATTTTATCGGATGTCTCTGAAGGAACAAACTTTGTTTAATAATAATCTCTAAATCAGTTGACAACAGCTTGAAAAAAATCATCTTGTTGTGCTTAATTATAAGTAATATGTCAAAAAAGTAGGAAAAGTTATTATTGCTTGTTTACTCGTTAGCCTTCTCACTTTACCACTGGGGACAATAATACGACTCATTGAAATTAAGGCTGAAGTTGTTGGTTGTATGAACAACTTGTACCAAAGTGTTGAAAACTTCAGTGAGGAAGATCTGTTCATAAAACAATTGAAAGCCATGCTATCAAATCCAAAAAATCCCTATCCAAAGTATTGCATAAGGTAAAAAATTTACATAGATGATTCCGTCTTCGAGAACTAGTATGAGTGTGTTCAGATTTCTCAAAGCAAAGCAACTAATTCTCTGAACCATTGAAATAAATATTTCTTTTGGTGATGTATGAACTTTAGTTCTCAATACAACCTCCAAACTGGTTAGCAGAAGCCTGAGTCAACAGTTGTGTAAAGCTAGTATTTGAACCTTCATATAACTGCATCAATGAATTTAAAGGAAAAGAAAACAAATCAATATCAATAAATAAATTAAAATATAAAGACCACCAGCAACTAAGAAAATTAAAATATGATTGTTTAAAGATTGAACCTTAAGATTTGAGTTAAAGGATGGTTGGTCATATTGTTGCATTGCTCTAGTTTTTGAAGTCTTTTGAGGTGCTCTCTTCTTTTTTTACTCATGTTTTGGTTTCAATCTTCCATATCCATTTTCTTTACCCTTCTTCTTAATTGGATCGAAAACACGACCATTCGTTCCTGAAGGACTAGTAGTTGTACTAAATTTGTGATAGTTCTTATGAGTACCTTCTGCATATAACTCACTTTGGAGTTTAGTAATCTCAACCGTTGCTTGATACAAAAACTTTCTAGCAATTTCTTCGGACTCGGCATCGTTTGCTGCTAAAGTCATAACAGCAAATGATTCTTTCATCAAACCATTTAAGAGAATGGCCATAGATGAAGTTGGTGATTTCTTCCTATTGTTGTACTCATCAAATCCATTCCCTTGTTTAGCAGTTCATTGTCCATCTTTTCAGAATATATTGTACAGGGATATAAGAAAAATCTAAGTCAAAGAATAAAACTTTTAATGCATGGCAACACAACCAACCCAAGGATTCAAACATAAGACAACTACAACTTATGGAATTGTCAAATGAATTGAATTGGACAGTGTCAGTTTGTCATCCTTCCCCTTTAAGAACTGTATATGTGTGACAAGTGCCATTACTTTCAAGTTTGATCACTTTCTTAGATGTTCCT